TATATATATATATATACATATTGCATTTGTGTATGTGTATATATATATACATATTGCATTTTTTTTTAAGCACAAACCAATAGATATTGGAGAAGGGGTCTGTAAAGATGACTAGCACAAAGTCAACAATAATTAACCACCTGTTCATTCAGCAAATGTTAGGTGTTGGTCCTATGAAAATAAATACAACCTATCCTGTTTTCAAGGAACTTGGCTGCCCAGTGGAGGAGATAGAGAAGGGATTATGTGACTGTGATAAGGTGTAGTTTTTAGGAATACCGCTTAGCCTTTTTAGCATTCTCTCTTCCTGAATTGTCTCCCAAACTCGGAGCTTCTGTGTCTTTGTTCTACAAGTAGCACCGACTCGTGCCAGCCCTCTTCTACACTTGAGGGCTACGCATGAGCAAGACAGATAAGTCCTTGTTCTTACAGGACTCAGTTTTAGAGCGGGTGGTAGACAGACAATACACATGTAAGGAAATAGTGGAGTGAGTGAAAGAGGGGGAGGAGCTGAAGAGCTGGGTGGCTCCCTGAAACCAGCCTGGTGAGGTGTGAAGGGCAGCTGAAGGTCAGCTGGTGGCCTTTGCCAGGCCAGGCACGGGGAAGGATGTGGTGGGCCCCAGCCTGCAAGAAGGAGCGGAAGCAGGAGTTTCTGCAGCAGGCAGGGTTGGATTGTGTAAGGCTGGATAAGGAGTTTGAATTTATTCTTGGAGTGATTAGAAGCTATTCAGTGTATAAGTAGGATCTGATTTTAAAGGATCCCACTTAAAGGCCTTACAGAAAAAGATATGAAGAAGCAAAAAGGCAGCTAAATATGACTTCTACCTCAAGTGCTTAATTTGCATCTTTGAGACCTTGTTAGCTGGGTGATCTCTAGGCATTTCTCATTGGCAGTTGCCTCTATCCTCCTCCCCTCCCTCCCTCCTTCTCTCCATACTTTCCTTTCCTTCCCTCCCTCCTGCCTGCCTTTCGTCAATGGAAAAGAAGAGAAACTCTGTAAAATAATTTAAGGAGGTTTATTCTGAGCCAAATTTGAGGACCATGGCCCGGAGCCACACCCAAGAAGCCTTGAGCAAGTGGACTTACTGTGGCTGGGTTACAGTTTGGTTTTATATATTTCACGGAGACAGGAATTATAGGTAAGGTGATAAATCAATACATGGAAGGCATACATTGGTTTGGCCCCAAAAGGTGGGACATTTCAAAGTGGGGGCTTATACATCATCGGTGGGTTTAGGGATTAAGGCAGGATGACTCGAAGTGGGGGCTTAAAAGTCATAGGTGGATTTAGGGATTCTTTAGTTGACAGCTGGCTGAAAGAGTTAGGCTTTGTCCGAAAGACTAGGAATCAGCAGAAAGGAATGCTTGGGTTAAGGTAAGGGTCTTCTATCTTTTATGTGATGCTATACCAGAATCCGGTTGGGAAGTAAACCACTTCATCAAAACCTGTTTACTGAGATTTTATCATTCGTAGGTGTGACTCACCAGGCCGCCTTAGAGAGGAACTTTTGGGGCAAAGAAAAAGATCAGAGCTCATTCCTCACTTTCTTCTCTCCCTTCCTTTCCTCCTTCCTTCTCCCTATATTTGAGTGTCTCAGATACTCCAGTCATCGTTTGGAGGACACTGTGTTGAACAAAACAGATAGAAGTTCATGCATTTGTAGAGTATACTTTCTAGTGGGGGACAGACAGAAAAGAAACAGGAAGGTTTTTTTTTTAACAGCTTTATTGAGCTATAACTCATATACCACATAATTCACTATTTAAAGTGTACAATTCAATGCTTTTTAGTATATTCACGGAGTTGTGCATCTATCATCACAACCAATTTTAGAACACTTTTATTACCCCCAAAAGTTAATAAGATAAAGGGACCCTGTGCCCCTTAGCCATCTGGTATCTTAAATAGGACAAATACAAAGCAGAGAAGCAGTATAGCAGTGTGGGGGGTTTGCAATTATAGATAGAGTTGCCAGGGAAGGCTAAGAAGGTAACATTTAAGTCAATACCTGAAAGAGATAAGCTAGCCCTGGCATTTACCTGGGGGAGATGGGTTTGAGAGAGGACGGACAACGATCTAACTTAATGCTGAGCATATCACTGAATTAAATTGGAAGCGATTTGCAGCTGAATTGATTATATTTTAATGGTTTGTAGAGTATAAATCAGTTCTTATTTGGAGCATGAAGTGTAAAATATTGGAATCCTACATCAGATTCTATCCAAGTACAAGATGAGGGTACCACCAATTAATGGAGTCTAAAAGTATTTGCTTCTGGGGAAGGCGTGAGTTTTATGGTGAGGAAAAAAGTTTTCTTGTTGGTTAGAACATACTACCTTTTTTTGTGTCAATAATTTATTTATTTCTGAAGTTAACTGGATCTCTATTAGATTCCTTTTTTTTTTTTGTAAATAATGTCATTTAAAGTGTGATAATTGATCATAGGAGTTGAGTCATTCTTGTCATACCCAACTAAAACAGAGTTGAGGGGCCAGGGGCAAAAGCACTCAGGGTACATAATGTTGCTCAAAAAATATCATTCTAGACCCAGCACAGTGGCTCGCACCTCTAAATCTAGCACTCTGGGAGGCCGGGAGGATTGCTTGAGCTCAAGGGGTTTGAGGTTGCTGTGAGCTGGGCTGATGCCACTGCACTCTACCTGGGCAACAGAGTGAGACTCTGTCTCCAAAAAAAATAAAAATAAAAATATCATTCTCTGCAAGTCCTAACCTGGTTTCAGGTTACAAGAGCTAAAACTGCCTCTTGTAACCTGAAACCGGTTTTATCTATAGCTGCTAAAGTAACTTGCTGCAACTCTGAGACTCATTTTGCCCACCATCATTGCCCACCACTTGGAGCTGGCCGGGTCTCCAGGGCTTCGCTAATACCAATGAACTTTTTCTGAGGACCACAGGTAACATTCCTCTTTTTTATAAAACCCTAAACCTTGTCTTTGTTCTTTGTGCATACCAAAGACCACCTGGTCTGTGTGTATGCCCCAAATTGCAATTCTTTCTTCCCAAATAAAACATTAAATATGAAGATTCGTCTCTATATTTTTATTTTGACTTTGACAAGATGCAGGAGAATTAGACTTGGCTGGTAGGATAAGAAAACTTTCTCACCATAATCTTATTAACAGTTATACTTGAATGACAGTATTTCATTTAATTCCCACAGGTAAGTGGTAGTATCCCTAATTTACAAATGAGGAAATAAAACTTAGAGAAATGAAGTCACTTGTCTAAAACTAATTAGTCACATAACTAATAAGTGGCAAAGCCAGGACCCTGACTCTAAAGCCTGTGTTTGTAACCAGTAGATTATTCTGCATCTCAGCCGTGTCACGGAGGGTATTAATGGCTTTGAGGAGTTTTAATGCTGAAGAACTTACTTTTTCATAGTTGGGAGGTGGAAAGTCAAGTACTCACGGATTATTTTTACAGTTCGAAAATAGCAGAATAGAGGGTATTTCTGTCCTGCCTGAAGATCATTTCTGAAAAAGACATGCATGAATATGTGCAACAAATTTAATACGGAAGAATTATCTTCTATCGTTAAGAATAAAAAGGCACCCAGGTGGCACTTTAAACACATTACCTGCAGCAACGACATGGCCATGAAGGGACATCCTGGAGCCAGGAGCATGGAGGGGTGTTGGAGATAGCTGCCAGACCATGTAGAGGATGGGGTTTTTATAAACTTAGGTGAAAATGTAATAGTATTTTTGCTCTCTTTAATTTTCAAGGGAAAAATCTTTTTTAAATTTTATTTTCTCAGGTCTGCCCAGAACAATATGGCAAAGGCAGTAGATGCATTTAGTAAGTATTTTCTGTATCTGAAATGCAAGAACTGTTCAGGAACAACTTCAGCATTTGCCTTTCCCCTTTTCCCTGGTAATTTTGGATTGGCGATACCCCAGGGTTTGCATTTTTCCAGGTATGCTGCTCTGAAATGTACTGGTTGTCTTCGTAGACCTCTCTCTAACATGGGGATGTGTGAGGGATGGATGATAATATGAGTCCCTACCTGAGCAGGTGTGTGGGGGAGGCGGGAAGAGGCTGCAGGGCACTCAGGTTCTCTATGGAGTCGGGAGTCCACTGGGAGTTAAGCCGGGGAAGTGAGAGCGGATCGCTGGCCACTCCTTGGAGCAGAGCAGCCCCGGTGACTGGGTAGGTGGTAAGAGCAATCGAGCTTCATCCATGGAGAGTGCTCCCTGGCCAAGGACTCTGCTAAACTCTTTATGTGTTTTACTTTATGTAATTCTCATAACAATTCTATCAGTATTCTCTATCTACCTATCCTTATCTCAGTTTTGCAGAAGAGAAAACTGAGGCTTAGAGAAATTAAATAATTTACCCAAGGTCAACCAGCTAAGTAGGTGACTGAGCTGGGATTTGAGCCAGTGATTCTCAAAGTCGAAACCTGTGGTTCCTTCAGAAACAGGCAGCTGCGGTTTGTGATCCCGCCAGTGCCCTCTGCTTCTCCTGGCCTCTCGCAGCTGCCTCGTCTCCTGAAGAGGGAATCTGCTGGAGGCAGTTGCTCTCCAGTGGGGAGCAGCCTTTGGGGGCCACATGCTTTCAGTAAGTCCATTGTAGGCCACTGGGCATTAATGGTATCATGGCCTTTAAGTACTTAGGATTAGCCTATAGGTTGCTTTGGGCTGGAGAGCTGCTCTAATCAGCCGTGGCCTGGCTCAGATGACACAAAGCCATTGCCAGTTCTTGGCCAGGAATTCCCTGTAGCCTCTTTTCTTAAAAAGGGCTTATGGATGTGAGAGTCTGAGTCTTGCATACATAGTGTATGGTTTCAGGAATACATCCATAATTATAAATTGGGCTACACATCATAATTAAAAGGGCTATAGCCTGACTGCCCTAGCAAGATGAGATGTTACCACTGTCAAAGGTCTTGCTCTCAGCTCTGCAGGTCTGGAAACTTGTCAGGCAGAAGACCCATTATTGATCACATGGGCCAGAGGGAAAACGGACTCAATCTAAACTCATAGAAATTGCAATCTAACAGTTTAGGATGGCACTTAATATTTTTAGTGAGCCCTTGCAAGGATATTCCCTTCTTGTTATCAGGGGCCTAGAAAGCCACGTTGGCTTAGCTGGGGAGCTTGGTGAGCAGAGAGAGAGACGAAGAATGGCGAGGCTTGGAGTAACCTGTCTGGGCCAGCGTTTCATTTATTAATTGTGACCTTCCTTCAGTTGGTGCTATGATGGTGTTGTACAGAGAAGGCTCCTACTTACTATCTAAAAGCACTTAATTCCTGAACTGAATATGTAAGTTTAATGTGATTCTAGAACACGTCAGTGAAATTTTTAAACATTTTTTTTTTGATATTGACAAAATGATGCTAGAGTTTATCTGCTAGGATAAATTACTACAAATAGCCAAGGGAATT